TATTATTTATATTATTATATTTATGTAATATTATGTGTTATTTTTTAAATACGACTACGATTCAATGACATATTTTTTTTATAAAAATATAACTTTTACTCCCTGAGACTTTTTTTCCACCGAGACTTTTTTTCTTTGAGACTTTTTTTCCGGAGACTTTTTTTCCGGGACTTTTTTTCCCCGAGACTTTTTTTCCGTTCCCCCCCTTAAACTACTTAAAAGAGGATCAATATTGAATATATAATAATAGGCGATAACCTTTCAATTTCGTTTACTATATCAATTACGCTATATAAATCTAACAATTTACCGTCTCTGTACACCTTATAGTTATTTGATATTTGAATTATTACTCATCACGTTATCTGATAACCAAATTGTATTGTTTGTGATATGTTTTCTCTCATAGGTAGATATAGGCAGGGAATGTAAAAAATATTGGTCATGAATTTTATGTAGGTGGTAAGTCAAAACTTAATCTTATAACATTTATTTTAATTAATTCATATGTAACTTTAAATGAACAAATGAATTGTTTTTTTTGTGTGAATAAAATGCCACTAAAGGTATTCTATAAAATAATTTTAGATCTAAAACACCACCATACGGTAATAACTTATTTATTTCATTACTTATAAACTAAACACAACTGTTATGATTTTAAATTTACCTATTAATATAAGTTATAACTATAGTAAGCAATACTGTTTAAAACTGTAATATTCTACAAATTAGAATATTAGGTGTACTGGAATATTAATATATTATACTGTATAGACAATAAAACTATTGTATACAATTTAATTATAACAATTTGGTGGTGGCCGTAATTTCACCAAATATTTACTTCAATAAATTTATTTATTTATCTAGTTTGGTGTATTTTAACGATATAAGGTTCCGAATTTAATACCTGCAATATCTGGCACTGAGTTATCTGGGATTTTGGTGCTTTTGTACCATACGAAAGATTTTTTTTCTCATTTAGTTTGAAAGCTTAAGTTTGACCTTTGGTGGACGTCGTTATGGGCAGGTAAGGTATGACAATCGTGCGAACACGGTCGTGTCAAACTCGAAACACCAACAGTAGAAAGAAACATGTACTTCTCTTGTCTGAAATGACTTAATTTGACATAATATTTCAGAATTTATTTCAATAAAATAACATGTTATGAACCACTGAAAGGTTTTTTCCTTGAAGTTGATGTTATATTTTCACCCCTCGCACTCTGCAGGATTCGTGACCTTCGTATATAAAACGTGGTATATAGTGTATTATATAGATGAAATCGCCAGCAACTGTTGGGAATATTTC